TCTGTCTCTCGCTGTCTTTCTCTCGATTGCACATACCCTATAGCAAAAATCTCTCCAAAAAAGAAATAATAATAATAAAACATAAAAAAAAAATTTAATTCAAAAAATGAATAAAAATATTGGGGGAGAAAGTGAAATGTATCAAGAAGCTAGAGAATTATCTAAGCAGGTAACTATAAGGCACAGAAAATAGGTGTTCTAAAACATAAATAGTCCCATGGTTGGAACAAAGGACAATGTGGAAAAGTGACAGAAGATAAAAGTGAGGCAGGGCACAAATCCCCAAGGCCTTGGTATGCTAAGCTAAGTTACAGAGTTCAAACTTTATCCAAGCCAACATAGTACCAGTAACAGATTTTAAATAAAAAGTGGCAATGGTCAGATTTGCATCTAAGAAACATTTCTCTGGCAGCACTGTAAAACACTGGAAGAAAACCAGGGAGTCAGGGCAAGCTATATGAAGAAGTAATAAGAGGCTGAGTTAAAATAGCAAGGACAGAGAAGTAAGGATAAAAAGACAAATGTATAGGATTTGGTGACTGCCTCAATGCAGAATAAGGAAGTCAAAAACAACTTTTTTTTTTTTGGAGAGGTTTTTTTGCTATAGGGCACATGTGCTCGCCAGACAGAGAGAGACATAGAGACAGAAAGCGAGAAATCACCCCCGAGGGGGAATGGTCACGCCGCAATCCCTTCTCCTCCATTCTCCTCTCGGGATCTTGAGCACGCACGCACAGGCGCCCGGCGTGAGTTTTAAGCCACCGGGTCCGGGTCGTGAACCGCGGTCGACTACATGGGAGTCCAGCGACATAGCCATTACGCTAACTGCTGGTTCCCAAAAACAACTTCTATAACTCTTAATTACATGAGTAGAGAGGCGGTACCACTCATTGACAGAGAATACAGAAAGGAGAAGAAGTGCACAGATTATGTAATTTTTTTTTCATTTTTTTTTCTTTTCTTTTTTTCCACCAGAAGGAACATGCACTTGCCAGAAAGGGGGGGTTGGGGGGCGGTGGAGAGAAAGCACCCTCAAAGGACATGTTCACACTGCAATCCCTTCTCCTTTTCTTTCTCCTTTCAGGATTTTGGGCATATGCACACATACACCTGACGTCTTTCTCAAGCCATTGGGTCAGGACTCAAACCACACAATTGGCTATGTGGAACTGAGCCACCTTAACCACCAAGCCAGGGGTTTGTTGCCCTAGGAGAGTAATTTTGAACATACTAAGTTCGAGATGTCTAATTGGAGCCCAGAGAAAAGTGGATATAGGGATCCAAACTTGGAAATGAAATGTAGGCTTGAAATGACCCGGGGCACCCAAAGCCTTGGGTGTTTAAGACATCACCAAGCAAGATGACCTATAGATGATATCATAAGGAATCAGCATTCAAGCTGTCGCTTAGTACACCTGAATTCACATCAAACACTGCAATCATGCAGAGCACTCTCCTGACAAATCCAGTCAATGCCTCAGAATTCTCTACTCAGTATGTCAGGCAACCACTGACAGGTGATCAAAGCTGGCAACAATATGCTGACCTGGTGTAAAAAGAGAGAAAGGAACCAAAACAGAGTCTGGGGAACCTAGACCACTTGAAGTTGGGCAGAAAAAAAGAAACCAAGGGCTGGTCCCATAAAGCAAGGATTAAGCACTGCACAGGGGAACACAGCTGACTGTGGTTTGAATGGCCCCAGCAGCTTGAAAAACATGGCAGATGCATGTGTGTGGGTACTCAGGATGTTAAGAGGATGAAGAGGAGGAGGAAAAAGAATTATAGCACAACCAGGCCCCAATGTGGGGTGCTTGCTTTCTCCCTCGCTTTCTCTCTCTCTGGCACATGCACGTACCCTCTGGCATCAAGAAAAATAGAGAGATGGAGAGAGAGAAGAAACCAAGAAATGGTAAAATAATACTTTATTCTCAAGGTTCCCTAAAATCTACCTTCATCTTTCTCTCTTCCTCATTCCTCTAATTTCTAAGATCTGCCCTACCTAACTAAACTTACCTCAACCATCTTCTTGCTGTTCAACTCATCAGATACACATACGTATATAAAATGCCACAGAGAAAGCTCAGGTTTGTAATGGGAATTGCATTTTGGTTTGGATGGAGCATAAGGAATGTGAATGGCAATAGTGAGAGAGAAGTCAAATTTTATGGAGCCATGTAGTAAAGAAACTGGATTAGGTGCCTTAGAAAGACATGGCGGAGGTGGCATGATGGTTAAGGGTGCTGTACCCCCACAAAGCCCACTGCAGTTCAAGTCTCAGAGCTGGAAACTTGCTTTCTCACACCCCCCCCCGTCTTTCTCTGGTCAAATATAAATAAATAAATAAAGTTATATAAAACAATTACTTAAAAAAGAAAAAAGAAAAGAAAGACATGGTAGGACCAGCAGATAAAGTAACATTGCTGGACTCCCATGAAGTCAACCATACACGCATGCCCAAAATCCTGAGAGGAGAACAAAGGAGAAGGGATTACAGCATGGCCATCCCCCCCGGGAGGTGATTTCTCGCTTTCTGTCTCTTTCTATCTCTCCAGCAAGTACATGTGCCCTATAGCAAAAATCTCTCTTAAAAAAAAAAGACAGACATGGTAATCCTTAAAAATTTTTTTTAATTAAAAACTACAGTAAGAAACAAAGAAACTAGTCAGCCAGGAATTAGGAAATGAGTAAAGGACTAAGGAATGATGGTACCTGTTAAACTCTTATTTTTCAAGATTTAAACATTTTCTTAATAAATATTCTAAATTCATTTCCTCTGCTGGACTATAAGCACCCCTCATCTTGGTCCTTTACATTTCTTTATTTTTTCACTCCATATAACATATATACTAAATAGTCAATAAATATTTGTTGAATGGCATCAAAGACAATCTTCTCCAGCCAGGTCTTAAATTCTAACTCAAAGCTCACCTTCCAGAGCTTTCTAAGCATACCTATGTCCAAACAGGACTGAAAATTTGTCCCCCTTCAATTTCTATAATCATGAAAATATAGAAGAACGAGAGAATTTCAAGGTTTCCCTCAGTCATAAAACACCACATGTCCTATCGAATTCCAGCTATGGATATGAGAATCTATGAAGGACCAAACTCAGAAATGGGCAGTGGCAGACTCTACGAAGACCATTGATCAAGCGTTAGACATCACCTATGTAATACTTGTTTATAGGACAGTCAGAGAAGACAATCAGTCAATAATCTGTGATTACTAACAAAGCCCTTGACCACCAGAGAAGGGAGAACAAGGGTGAAAAAGAGGAAAGTCCGGAGAAACTCACAAGGGAACTTTTTCCTCTGTGGTAAGGCTAAACACCACCTTTCCCAGGACCACAGCACCACTGTTCACACCAGGCTGCAGAGCACTCAGTGGCCTGAGCTCCAGAGTCACCTTCTGCCCCGAAGCTGACTGATAGCGCCCATCACCACAAGGCCCTAGATGAGCTGGGCGCAAGCTTCCCAGCATGCTCTGAAGCTTTTTGGTCTTCACCTTTCCCTGCAAAGGAAAGGCAGACAGATCAGAAGCTGGAAACCAGTCACCAACCTTACAAATCTAGTCCTAGCCTCCCTCCCACCCACCTACTTCTAAGCCTGTTCTATACTGATTTTATTGACCCATGGCAGATTAAAAGTAGGATTCAGTCTTTTATACATCATTACTTTGCTCTCAAGAAGACTGGTTAATCTATCCAGGAATTCCAGGAGTTGTTGCTCTCGTTGCCGGGGCTCTGGCCAGGCAGGATCCAGTGCTGCAGCCCGAGAGAAGCCCTCCAGGGCCTCCCCATAACTTTCTTCATATTTATGTAACTGCACAGGGGAAAAAAAAAAAAAGTTTCCCAGTTATAAGTATATCCAAACAAACTATGTTGAGGAAATCATGGCACAATGGTCTAGGAATCTAGAGAAATAACCAGCTTTCCTTTCTAGTCATTTTCCTGTTCTACCATGACAGCCTAAAGAGCTGGTAACACCTTACATCCTTCTTGGCCAGGAAGATTACAACTCCAAAGATAGAATCATTTCAAAGAAGCTAATTTCCAAACTCTAAAATAATTAAGCTCACTCCAGTTTTATATTTATTCTTAGCATCCCAGAAGTCATCTACACCATCCCCCTATTCTCTACATACTTTTCCATCTCGTTAGCCCCTATATCTTATTTACTGACCTTCAGATAACTACCACCCATAGAGCTTACCGTTGCCCTGTTCAGATGAAGGTCAGGATTGCTGGAAGCTTTCCTGTCAACCTTCTCCTAAATGGGATAAAAACACCATCAGTGGATTCTGTCTCAATCTTAAAGATGGCCAAGTCTAACACCTTCTCTCCTAGACCTTCTCTTCCTAGAAAAACAGAAGTTTCTTCTTTATTGAATGTTACCTATACCCATACTGCTACACGAGCTGAATGAAAACTTTAATACTGAAGTGTAAATTAAGTGCTGTCTCCAGTTTCACCATTAGATAGTATGGTTCTGGATTTCCCATAATCGGAAAGAGAAATGGTGTGTAGTCTATATAGCTTCATTCCCTAGAATTTAATTTACTGGAGTTTGTGCTTTGCTTAGGCTTTTAAGCAATTTTTAAATCTATGACATGGCTCTATAAATTCTGACTTATCTCTCACTATTGCCTTTCACATTCCTTATGCTCCACCCAAACTGAAATATAATTCCCATTACACGCCTGGGCTTTGTGGTATTTTATAGATGTATGTGTGTATCTGATGAACTCAAGAGAAAGACAGCTGAGGAAAGTTAAGGAGAGCAGATTTAGAGCTTAGAGAGATGAGAAAGAGATATGTAGACAGATGAAAGTATGCTTTAGGGGATCTCGAGAACAAAATAATATTTTACCAATTCTTGGTTTCCTCTCACCCTTTCTTTCTTTGATGCCAGAGGGCACATACATGTGCCAGAGAGAGAAAAAAGAAAGAGAAAATGATATATGTAGGGTATAGTACTCAGTTCCTAAAACCTCAGGATGCAAGGGTGCTTTTAATAAATTAAATTTTAAAATACAAGTATAGTTTATACCCAAAATATTATAAAGATAGAATAAAGGGGATGGAGGTGGCATGATGGTTAAGGTGCTGGACTCCCACATGGCCTACTGCAGTTCAAGTCCTATACCTAGCAGCTTGCTTTCTCAGTCCCTTTCTCTCTGTCTCTCTATGGTCAAATTAAAAAATAATAATAATAAATAAAAATAAATAATTATTTAAATTTTTAAAAGAATGAAAAGAAATATATAAATGTATTCTGATAAAAAAATTGTTTTAAATAGTGAGATGACAGTAAAAATGAGGAAAACACAGGATGGAAATAGTATTAATTTAATGCACTGCATCTGCCCAAAAGCCCAGTTCCTGATACATTCAAAATCATGTTTCTACAACTAAGCCCTCTTAAAACATACATCAGAAGTTGAATTTTGATTATCTAATTAAAACAGATTACTAGAAAGCCAGTTGGTGGCGTGATGGTAAAGGCAGCTGGATCCCACATGGCTAGTTGTACAGTTTGAGTTGTAGACGCTTCAATTTGAAAACAAAACCAGGCTTGTATACATGTGTGCCCAAAATCCCAAAAGGAGGGAAAAATGGAGAAGGGATTGTTGTGTAACCATCTCCCATGAGAAGTGCTTTCTCACTTTTCTTCTCTCTGTCTTTCTCTGTCTCCAGCGAGTATACACACTATCTGGCAAACCTTTTAAAAAAGGAAGTATTTAGCAGAAGTCAAGTTAATAATTTTGAAAAAGCATACCCTATTATTCTTTAATATGTGAACATTCACCACATTTTTAAAATAGAATAAAAGAAAGTAAAATGTAATTCCTCTAAAAGTTCCCTGGTTGAGGGACCAGCAGATGGCATAATGGTTACGTCGCTGAATTGCCATATAGTCAACTGTGGTTCAGGGACCAGACCCAGTGGCTTAAAACTCATGCCAGGCATGTGTGCATGCATGCCCAAGATCCCAAAAGGAGAATAGAGGAAAAGGAATGTGGTGTGGCCATCCCCCCTATGGGCTGATTTCTTTCTTTTGTCTCTCTGTCTCTCTGATGATTAAAAATGTTCCCTAATTAAAAAGACAGTCCCAACAAGAAGACTCCTCCATGGCTCCTGAGAACTAGTAATTTCAGGGGGAAAAAGAGAAATGACTTTTTTTTTTTTTTTTGGAGAGGTTTTTGCTATAGGGCACGTGCGCTCGCCAGACAAACAGAAAGAGACAGACAGAAAGCAAGAAATCACTCCCCGGGGGGATGGCCACACCGCAATCCCTTCTCCTCCATTCTCCTCTCAGGATCTTGGGC